TGCAGACAGTTCAGAAAAGAGTCACAAAAACTGACTTGGGGGCTGGAAGTATGCCTTTCAGTAAGGGATTTCAGAAGCTCAGTGTATTTGTCTTATGAATTGATTGCACTTGATAAGTAAGTTTTCAGACATAAAAAAAAAATTGCATCAGTTTTACATATCTCTGGATATCATCAGTGAAGAGTGTCTACCCTTGTGGAAGATATTGAAACTTTCCAGTCTTTTATTTGGGCACCTTCTACCCTGTGCAGAGATACTGCATTCGGAGCATCTGTAGCTCCTGAGTACTTGGCATCTGTTTATTGGCTAATACACCAAGTAGATACGTAGGGCAAACTTGCTACCAGGCTAAGCAGTAAATGCTCTCTACTCCTGAGACAGGCACCTGGTGAGGCTCTGCTGGCCAAGCATCAGTCAGCCGCGTGCATGTGTTGATCCGTGGAGTGAGCTGCTCTGCAATCTTGCCACGTTGTCTGCTTCCGATTCCCTGCTGTTTTCTTGGGGTTTTTCAGGCTGATATTTTTCCTTGAGTCCCTGAGTTACTAGTATTGTCTTAATAAATACATTTCCGTTTGTTGTTTGACTTTCCTCGCGAATCTTTGGCTTACCTTCTGTCTTACAGCTCAGTACTGTCTCACTGCTGTGCTGCACAAAATTAGGCCTGGGTCACAGGTGGGTGAACTCCTGGTCTATGGGTTACAACATGCTTAGTCAAACAGAAGTTATTGGGCCCAACATAGAGGTAGCAGTGAAACATAGCCTACAGTGAATGAGAGGTCAGTCTAGGTGATCTAATGGTCAAATCTGATGTCAGACTATGAATCCATGAACTAATTTGGCTAAAATCCTTTACTCATTTAAAACTGTTAGGTCAGACTGTCTGGAGATGTAGTGTTAAAAAAGAAGAGGAGAAAATGAACCAATGATATTAATGTTTGGAAAGCTTTTTCCTCAGTTGCACAGACAAGATTATAGAATTCATCTTCAGAGCAGTGTTTTGGAATTAGAATTAAAATTCCAGACTCTCAGTCCTCAGAGTTCCGCGCATCATAATTTTAAATAAAACAGTTCCCTTAGGACTGGGCAAAACATCTAAAAATATTAATTTCAATTGTGAAGTAATAGCAGTGTAGGATTTGTCAAAAAAAAGGAAAATGGAGCTCAATATGGTGAAGTAAAATGAGCAATAGTAGTGTAATGTCTGTTAAAGAATATACTGGAAAACAAAGCTAAACACTTTTACATGCAAAGTGTGCGTAGTGTAGTTTACTAAAACGAGAGAGTTATAGCTACATGTATAAGTCTGTATATCTATATTATTGTTGTCTAAGTGATAGTATCCCTAACTTAATTATGTAAGAGACATACAAGTCCTAAATCTAAGTTCTCTTTATCCAGAGATATTTTTTAAGGGATCTTTAGTTCATGTTGAATCATGACTTGACTTTGTAATGGCAGGACTATATTCTGTCGCTTCTGATCAGGCTGTAAGGTTTATGCTCCGCGTCATCTCAGAAATCTGGCTGCGCGGGTGGAGGTTTAATGTCAGAAATGTCAATAAAATGTCTTAGTTGCAACCTATTTATTGATAGCTTTTTCATGAAAGTTAAAATCAGTAGTTCCAGACAGAACTTTTGCTTATGCTGCCCTCTCATCCATCTCGACCACTTGCTGCCATCTTGTCCATAATGACCACTTTACATGAAACCTCCTTTCAAAGGAATGGGATTTTTTGTGGCATAAAAAAGGAGCATAAACAAATAGTCATAAGTACAAGGGTCAGTAAATACAGCTTCCTGGTTGCATTAACTTTTAAAGGAATTTTCTGGTTGGAAGTATCATCCATGTAGCATCCACCATCTCTTCTCATTCTCTTCGCATGTGAATTTCTAAATCTACAGGAACTTTCAGTTCTTTAAAACCTTTCACTTTTCTGCAGTGGGAGGTGAAACATTTGTGAGCGTTCCTTTTAGTCTGAATTTCTTTGGCAGAGTCAATTTTCTGCCAAGGAGCTGCATGTTGGAAACTTGTTAGCAGGGCAAATTTGTCTGTCATCAGATCTGTGCTGCTGGTGATGGATGGTTTCTTAATCATTTAAAGCTAACTCAGGTATCTCTGTCCTATACAGAGGTGTAGGCATCTCCAAATTTCTGAAATAGGGGAGGATTTCATTATTTTATCCCTTTCCTCATTTGTATAGCCAGCCTTCTTTCTTTTCACTCTTTCACTCAGGTTTGTATTTCTTTGCTCTAAACATATTGTTCACTTCATCTTCCAATCTGTTACATGTTTATGGTTGATAATTATTTTATATCTTTTAATGTGAATACCGTTGTTGCATTTTGCTTTTTTTTGTTTACTCTTGGGAAAATAGCCTTTTAATTTTTATGATTATAATTTCTGATTTTGTCATGTGATTGTTAGCATTCTAATTCTAGTTATTAGTTGTTTGACTTTTTGGATACACCAAGTTGAGGTTGTTACAGATTTGGCGGATATAGATGAGCATAGGTGAGCCTATGGGATGCTTAGTATGTAAAATGTGTCAAAATTTGTATTTTTATCAAGACTCAGTTGTATAACGGGGATCATTTCATAAATATATATAGAAAATGTTATTAGATCATGATTCACACAAATTTAAACTTGGCATACTTTCAGTGATTAACTTATTTCTAGTTTTTAAATTTTTTAACGTATAGCTGTGAGCTTTCAAATCTTAAGTGATTCGTTTAGGCAGGAAATTAATTAATTCATACTCCACTGAAGAAATGAATTAGTTTTCCTGTTTTAGGCCTTGTTCTTTGGAAGTGTAAGTTTTGAATACCTGGATGATATTTATTAAATCTTGGGCCTGCTACCACAAAAATCACAAACTGATACAATAGTTTAAGTCCTTGTACTAGCTGTTTGTGGAGAGAGTCATTTCCCACCTGCAGATCCATAGGTTTGGTGGTAATATATAGCGCTTTTTATCTGATTCTGGAAGAATTAAAAATAAAATATGATCAGAGCAATACTTGATAAGTGTCAAGGTATCGTCTCAGCTGACAAGCAAAGTAAATCCTCTGCTGGATAGAGGGAGAAGTGGAGGAGAGGAGAGAAGAAAGAAAACTCCTAAGAGGCAATGAAATATTCTCAGAAGCCAGCTGAACATTTGATCTTCCCTGTGTGAAAAGGAAATGGCTAAACCCAGTTGCTTGGGGTTTTTTTGGAGATGACAGCTCCCCTGGACGTTGTTACCTCAGGGGTTACAGAGGAAGCTGATGAATCACAGACCAAACAGGAAGAGGCTTTTCTGACTCTTGAGCAGGTGTATGGTAGCCTGATGCAAATAGAAGATACCGTGACAGCTGTAAATCACAGCTTTATAAGTAATCAGAAGACAGACGTAGTCTCAGTGGAGAAGATGATTCCATTTTTGGCAATAAAGTAGGGCCTGTAAAAATGTTTAATTTATCTTAAAGTTATTCACAAAGCTTCATAAACTTGTGAAAAAGTGGGGAGCAGAATACTTCATTGAATATCCTTTAAAATGTAGTTAGATTATTCCGATAAATCATTAAAGACTTACTTGGTTACTGGTGAACTTGTTACCTGACTGTAAATTTGCTGATAAAGGCTATTTCAGTTTCAGGTTATGAATCAACATACATTCAAATATAGAGAAACTCTGATTACTACTAATACAAAAGTCAAAGTAATACACTAGGTCAAGTTTCTTGTAGTAAGGCTGGTGAGCACAAATAGTTTGCATGCCAGTGTGTCTTTTCCATAAGGCAAAACCCATGACCTGGCTTATGCTGCTGCTGCTGTGCTTCTTTATAAGGATAGCTGTAGAGTTTATTGTCCAAACAATCAATGTACAGGTAGAAGATAACGTGCAACTGCATAAAACCCCCAAATGAATGGAGAGCAGCGTCATGTTCTAAAGTAATTGTTTAATTTTTGTACGTCATTTAACTGTCTGAAGAAGAACTGGATTTGTGGGCTATGAGGAGGAACTGAGCCTTCAAAACGCAGTAACCTGAGACTTACAGTCAGCTGCCCTATACAGTACTTAATTTTATGCTTAAATCCTTCTTTACATGTTTTTCATGAAATCAGAGGGTCAAGTTAAACAATTCCATTAGAGGGCAGTAGTATATGTAGGTAGTGACTGTAGTAGTAGATTGTAGAGGTTACAGTAGTATAGTCGCTCATGTCTCTAAATATGTACTTTATAGCTTCCTTACTGATATGAGCTGTGGTCTGTATGATTTTTGCATTATTAGTGAAAGGGGAAAAATGGTGCTAATGTAATTTAAATAACTGAAATAATACAGAAATATCTTGTAATATACACGTACAATAATGCACAGCCTGTCATCTATTAAAAATCAAAAATCAAAGTGGCAGAAGTTATACAAAACATTTTTAGCAGCTTTCAGCACTGATTATACCAACTGGAGTGTCAACTCTAAAGTTGTTAGGCCCTGCCCTTTTTGAATTGCACAATTTTTGTACTGTATAACTTTTATGTATTTCTTGAGATATTTGTGCAAACATTTTTATTTCGAAGCTCTGTTTTTCTTAATTTTATTAGCTTTAATGCTTAAGTCTACATGCAGACTTTCCAGATTTCCAGGCAAGGGATGGCATGATTGTGCATGCTTATTCAGTTACCTTTTAGTGAATCAACATTAGTAGTGTATTGTGATTTTGCAGTGATTGTCGCAGAAGATTTAACTTCTGTATGGGTTATATCTTCTGAGAGATTTGATAATGAACTTAGTGTAAGGCTCGAAATGTAAGCCTCAAAAGCCTAAACGTTCAGGTTCTGTTTTTATTCATACTCCAACATTTTCATTGCTTCAGTAGCTTTAAACAGATGTGCTGAGATGATTAGTAGACAACTAATTCAATTCCTCTAGGCTTTATACTTTAAATTTTACTGCCGTTCATATGTGTAATTCAAGAAATGCCCCAAACATGCTATTTCTTTTTCAATTTTCAGTTGTGTTGCTTGATACTACAGCTGCGCTTGGAGAACTAGGATGGAAAACATTTCCTTTAAATGGGGTAAGTCACTCATCATTTAAGTTTCATTGTCTGGACTTTGGTATTTTGACAGTCTAGAAGTAGAAAGGCTGTTATAGCTGAGTGGATGTTCTTGCAGTATGGACTTGTAGGAAGGATTTTAGTTGTTCTCAGCTCTGGAGGAGCTTGAGTTGTAACTAGGAATAAGAGCCACAAGACTGACATGAGTACATTGTGTTGTCCTTCTCTTACTTTTCTGACTGTTAGGAATCTATCATGTTTCTAATCTGATATATGTCATAACATTTTGTATAAAAATACTTAAGTTGGGAGCATGTATTATGAATATATTTTCTGTGAATTAAAGGAAAACTCATTTTTTATTTTATAGTAGTAACTTGGAACGAAACTTCAATGATTGAAGTGAGGATTAATACAGATTTCAGTATCTGTCAAAATGGTAGGAGGTTAACTAATTCAGAAAAATATGTTTAATGTATATTAATGCCATGAAAAACAACGTAAATGTTTAGGAAAGAAACATTCAAATAGGGTTTTTTTCCTCCATTGACCATTTCAGATCAAAGTTAAGTATTCCGTTAACATTTTACAGTTTAACATCTTACACAGTTTCAGTATATTGTTAATAGATTGACAGGAGGCACTTGATACTATGTACAGGGCCTCAGAGTATTGCAGGTATCTGGTATATTTGGAGATGCTATGGCCAGACCATAGCATCTGGGGGATGAGAAGCATTTTTACTCTTTGAAGTTTAGCCATCAGTATTTTGCCAGTGGCTGTACTTCAAAGGCTATGTTCTCTTTCCATCCAGCAAGCGCACTTAAGGGCGCATCAGAGGTATTTTAACTTTTTAATTAAAATAACGTATGCTGGAGCATTTAAAACCTCTTGTATCGGCTTCTAGTCCTGATGTCTCAGTGCGCTTAGATAACCCTTGATTGTACATCACTTATAGCTATCTCTTATTAGCTAATATTGTCTCTTAATTCTTGGGTATGAGGCATATAATTTAGTTGATTCAGAAATGAGCTCAGAAAGCACTGTATTTCTGTGAGTGGAAGATCTCATTTTATTTTTAGTTATTTTATTTCTTGTGATCCATTCCGGAAGGATGTAGAAATTGTCTATCCTCAGCACCTTAGTAATCCGTTTTTATAAAAGGCCTTCTGTGACTCTGCCCTCAGGGACTTCAGGCAATGTGAAATCTCTTAATCTCAGCCTATTTTCAACTTTATGGATTACTTTTTTCAGGATTTTCCAGCCCTTTGTATTCCTAGACAACATTTCAGTCTGTTACGGATACTTCTGTGTTTTGCATTTTGTATGCAGTCTCATGCAGTCTGAGTCATAGTTCTGAGATGGTTTTTTCCCTTCAGAAATCCTAGAAAAAGGCAAATACTGTCATAGGCTATGATGAGAAAATACAGCAAGGAATTTTTGCTCTTGTTTTGTCATGAGTCCGATTGAATTGAGCAGGGAGGCTTGCATTTGAAAGGCAAACGAGATATAATTTCAGTTATTCTGGAAGCTCTTAAAAGCTTTAGTTACTCAATAACAACAGAAACACTATGCAAGCTGAAAAAAAAACCACGTAGAGATTATATAAAACATAGCTATTACAATGTATCTATTTTGGTTGGTCCTACCCTTAACATCAGTTTTGCAGCATATTGAGGGATATTGCCTTTACTATGTCTTAAGAATTGGCAGCATTTACTAGAATCCAAGGAGTGTACATTTGAATCAGCACTTTGTATTCAATTATTAGAGAATTTCTCAATAAGTAAAATTTGGTTTAAGAAGATGTAGCTAGAGTAAATATGTAGGAGAAGAACAGTTTGTAGCATGAGGAAAACATACAGTACAAGGCTTTGTGGGACATGAAATTAGGCAGAAGAGGCTAGAGTGAAAATTCTAAGTGAGAGGAAGTGGATAGATACAGTAAGGATAGGTAGCAAAGAGAAGTGCACATGTTAACTCAGAAGAAAAACGTCTAAACTGATCGTTATAAGCTGTAAACTGGGTAACGATTCTTGTTCACTGCAGCAAAGTAGTTACTTTAAGTAAGTAGTCCCACTGACTTCTATGGGAGTTATACAGATGAGAAGAATTCCTGTTTCGAAGAAGCAGCACGATCAATTTAAGAGGGACTGTAGGATGTTGGTCGTGTACAGCAGCAGGTGACTGGATTTGCTGACAAACACGGTCCTTCATTTCTAACAGTGCAATGAAAGAAAATGGTTTAGGTCAACGTACTGTGCCAGTAAAGGTTATTGTGAACAGTAAGAGCTTTTAGTGGTGATGCTGGATCTCCGAAACAGTGCAGAAAGAAGGAACAAACGAAAAAACTCTCTGCATATATAACAGAGACAAATAGCTTACATGAAGTGAGAACTATGTCTCTCACTCACTGAAAGTTATGTAGAACTACTGATTAAAATTGGTGTTTGCCGATTCTTTTATAGCTGATGTTGTTCTGACAAACTTCATTAAAATACGCCAAATGTTCATTTTGTTTTGGATATTTGATCATACAGAAAAGTGCATAAAGCTATTAAAATACAGAAAGTCATATTACTTCTGCATATAAAATATTAAAGATACTGAAATTAAAAACTGAAATGGAATGAATTTCTAAACTACTTCTATTTAAATGATTCTGGGTTCCTGTACCTTGTGCAAAGGCAAGAAAAAAATTGAACTTTTAAGGGCTCAAGTAATTGACAGAATATGACGTATTCTTCACGTCACTTTTGCATATAATCTCTGAAACGGAATGCCAACATTTGTGTTAGTTATTTATTCTGTTTAAAACTTAAGGCAAAACTGTGCTTTTGGGATGCGGTAAATAACTCCTGTTATTCTTACGGATTTCACAAAGAACAGTAAAGCAGTTATCGTTCTAGATCTTGCAGAAAACCTACTACAGATGTTGTTTTATGCCCACACTATAATCTAATCTGCGTTATTCATCTGTCCTAACATAACTTAGCATATGACATAATCATTGGTGTGGTTGGGATTATTACCGCACATCAGCTTTTCCCCCTTTCCTGGAGAAGGTTGACTGTTTTGGTTTGTTTGTGCTTTTGATGAAGATTTTTGTTCAGATACTGTCTAAATCTTACACATGACTTTAATCCTTTTTTTTTTTGGTCAGAGATAAGAGTGTGTATTATGTTTATGTGTGTAAAAAAATCATTAACAAATAGTTAATAAATTTCTCTGTAGAATGGCTTTAGGATTAGGGGGATGGGATGACAGGTTTTCTTCAGACTGTGACATAGTAACAAGTTACTAGTTCACCAGCATATTCAGTCACAAAGAATGTTCTCGTTAAATTAGATAGCAACAGAAATATTCAGTAATGTTTGGGATTTAGGTAATATTAAATATGCCTCAGAGATTTTAAACTAACATCCTGGGGTGAAGTAGGAGAAGAGAATTAGAAGAGTATTCTTTTGGACTGTGTAGAACCACTGCATGACATTGTGGTCTTAACCTTCTCCTAGTCTTTTTATTTATAGCAAATTCATAATGGCATGCTTGCAAGCTTTCAGCAGTACAGTAACCTCCAGAGGTACCTATCCAAGCAAGTAACAATACAACACAGTAGTCTTCTGTGTGGCATTTGTATGCAATGCCATCATTTAGCTGCAAAGATGAGTCATGCACAACTGAGATATCCATTCTTTGATAACATAATATGTGATTTTGCTTTTTCATTTTCTTCTCAGTTTTTTGTACTGCCTCTGTAAAGCTTGAAAATACAATACTTTTCCTAACAAATTTGTTTTCTGCATTTGCTGGTCAGATTTTTCCCTTGTATGTTGAACGATAATAAATTTAAGTGCTAAGAGCTACAAAAAATGCAGAGTAAGTAGAGCATTAATATCTTTGAGGTCAATGGAGCCGGCTTTTGTTGATCAAGGTGCAATTTAGCTTCTCAGTGATGGACTGTCTAAGATTTCTACTTTAATAATGGGCACATCTGATACTTCCTCTGTTCCTTGGGCTATACTTTAAAATGACTGATTGATTTATGAAAAAACATATGCTGTGAAATTAAAGTAGATCTTTACTCAACAAACTGTCACTCCATAACCTTGAAAATGCAGAACAAGTTTTGTCTGGATTGGTAGCAAAAGTGGAAAGGAATTCCCTATGCATTTAAGAAGAAGACATGAACGCATTGCCTGAGCAAGTGGACAGGCCAGCTGGGTTCATATGAGCCGTTATTATCCATGATGTGTAACCATTTCCTTGCAGTTGAAGTCAATTTGCTGAACTTGGGACAGGATTGTTCTTAGGTTTTCTCACTACTGGATCTGCTGTGCCGTGACTGTTAGAAGGGTGGCTTTTAACAGGAGATTAAACACTGATTAAGTATTGAATACATTTAATTTTTAGAATTTAGGGAGGAAAGGAGAAAACCTGAAAGCCTAACTGAAAGGTGGTGGTTCTCAACCTTCACTTAACCGTTAACAGTCATACTAATTAAATAACGTACCTTGGGCAGCTCTGGATATTTTTCTCCCTTTTGACTTCAATTTAAAGTTTTTTTTCCTATTGTGTTAAGCAGCCTACCCTAATTTTGTGAGCAAAGTTTGCTCATGAGCTATGGTTTGGAGACCACTGCCGTAAGGGCCTGTCTATGGCTGATTAACTTCTATAATAAATGCTCTTACTTAACTCTAAGAATCCCTTATTTTGCATGAATTAAATCTGCTTTGCAAGTACCTTGTGCTAATTTGGAATAAAGCCTTCTTAACCTGAACAAGAAAATAATGTATGCAGGACATTAATCATGAAAAAAATCTCTCCTTCAGATTCACACATAACATTAATCTGAATTCTTACTTCTTCTTTGTTGCAACTTCATAAACACCAAAATAATTTTAAAATTAACATAAAAGAATGGCAAGATGACCCATAGCATAAGTCTGTGGGAAATTATTTACATGAAGAAGGGGTCTGTACAAGCTTCCTAGACGTGTCAGTGTAGGCAAAATGTATAG